GAATATCTCTTTGGTTTTGAGACTTTAGTCTTTGCAACTTCAGGGATCTTATCTATGCACAATCAGCTTGTAACACTCCAAAGAGAAAGGAAAACTTGAAATCGCATCATATGACCCCTTTAAATGATTTCAAGAGGTTCATTAACACAGGTTGATGTGGCAGGTGCTTAGGCAGATGTGTGTGTTGTAACTTAAAGGGATAGTTCACTTTCAGTTGCTGGTCCCAATTGACTTCCATAGTTTGGAAAAAAATGGGGACCAGCGATCAATGGGGACCAGCGACTGAATTTAAACTATCCCTTTAAAGGGGTCCTATTACGCTTTTTCACTTTTTGAATTTTAGTCAGTGTGTAGTGTGTATGTTTGGGCATAAAAAAGATCTTCAAACTTTCAAATCTCAAAGTCCACTCCAAAGGGAGATATTTTGTTAAAAAAAAAAATCCCTTATCAAGAACTACAACGAACGGCTCGTTTGGACTACAGCGTTTGTTTTCCGGGTTTTGTGATATCACAAAGCGGCCCATTAGAATATCATTAAAATAAGTCCACCTAAGGAAATTCGAATGGTTGGGGGGTGGGGAGGGGCGAGGTCGTGGTTAGAACGCTTGGTTGAGTGCATCAGACAAGATGACGACGAAGAAGTGCTGCTGTAGCCTCAAGTTTTCACAAGTTATTACACATGCACCTGAATAATTATGTATGTAAATATGTTACAATTATGAAAACGTTTTTATAATAAATTGCTGACAGTACAATACTGGACAATGATGTAATCTGCAGAATTTACACTTCAATTATCAGACTACAATGTTTCCCATACATTGAGTGCGGGTGTTTTTATATCGCTGTATTTCTGAAGGAAACCATTTTCATTTAATCTTGCATGTAATGTCTGATAAAGCAGTGTTTTTTTTTTTGAGCGAAGCCCTGCTTTGTATACAGCAGTTACCGGGGAAACCTTGATCTCTACCACTCCAACAGCGCCTCCTGCTGGCAGAGAATGAGTTTGCATATATATGCCGCCTGGGAAACACTGGACTATGGTATAAATAAATTCAACTGTATAACAGTTTCACTGCAATTCATGTTATAATGTTAGAATTAAATAACAATAAAAATAATACATATGCACTTATCTGTACATAGTAAATGCAGTTATTTTTAAGCGGTTGTTGACATCCTATCTAAAATGTGATTTAGCCACAAAAAAAACAACAACAATAACGTTACCACTGTAATATGTCTTGCAATATCCGTGCGTGCAGAGGTTGTGCGAAATCCTCTTGTTCAATATTCTCTGGGTCTGAATCCGGCTCAAATTGATATGGCAATATTGACGCCATCCTTAACTAAACTTGCTGCTTTGGCAAGGGGCGGGGCAGTACTGAAACACCGTCTAAGCTGTTCGCCAATCACAACGCACTGGGATAGCTAACCAATCACATCATCAAACCCGGAACTAATCGAGCCGTTTGTACCAGACTGGGGAGAAAAGTATTGTAATAATGTAAATTATGTAAAAAAAATAATGTGTTTTTCGAACCACCAAGCATGAGAGCATGTTCTAGTACACCCCCAAAACAAATTCAAGGCATTGTAAAATAGCATAATAGGACCCCTTTAAGAGTTGTTTTCCCCAGCGCACGAGTTGCCTTTTCTGGTTATATTTTGCTCTGTAGATGTTAGAAAATAAAGCGCGTATTTCTGTTTTGCTTGTCCCGGGAACAAGCGACATTCATTTATTTTAAACCTCTGGCTTATCTGCATTAGTGCACAAAAGTATGCGCATGCGCATAAACCAGACAGGATGCAATGTATTTTTTATGAGAACAGTAAGTTAACACTGATGGGATTATAACATGTAATGGGATCTAAAAAGTCCCTTTATTACATTTACAGGAAAACGATTAGAACGTTACAAGGTTCAGAAGAGGGACTTGTGTGAGTTCATGCAGAAATGTCCTAAGTTTTAACTGTGAACAAACAGTTTTTATAATGTATTTATTATTGTTTATATTTTAAACTTTTTTATAATATGCAATATTATCAAACATTATTGTTTGAAGGAGAACATTGGGCAGGATGTGGAATACGAAAAATAAAATCTAGCTTATACGGGGGTATTCTAAAACGCCTAATGTGAAAAATACCCCATTGGTGTTTTTGTTTGTTTGTTTGTTTGTTCAAGTAATACTGTTCAGTTTATCCATGTTTTTTTTTTTTTGCCATTGCCATGGAAAGGTGGGCGGGGAGCGTGAAACGGAAACCCCGGAATGGATTTAGAGGCCAGTGATTACAGAATGCTTCGAGCAAGGAACTATCTATTGCTCCATTCCAGTTCCACTCTGGCTTTTAGTCTGCACGTTGCTTGGTGAAACGAAAAGCTTGACACTTTGGCTACTTTTGGAACTATTTTCGTTGATTTAAAAAGAAATACATAGCCTACTAACTGGCTATTTTCTGTCAAAGTTACTCAGTGTTAAATTGTTTCAATGATTAGTCAATGATAAAGCCTAAACATACAAAATGTAAAAGACAACAAAACGCCTCCCTTATTCATGCCTGAAACGTCACCACATTGAATTTCACACAATCACAGCTGCCCGTTTTTTTTTACTGTACATTTGACATGTGATTATGGCATTCTATTCCTCAGATAACAGTAACTACACTTTTCATATTCTCGGTCAAACAATAAGAGAGATCAGGAATTTCACAGGCACGAGGAGTCTCAGGGCTTATGACACAGGCTTGATGCAGTATTGGAATAAATTAAACCACTTTCCATTGACGAGGTGGTGAACTGATATTGAAGTAGCTTTGTCATTATATATCCGTATTATTTTTATTTCACCAAGCATTAATTCACAAATAAATAAACTTTCACTGCGTTTGTGCCCTTGCTCGGGATGATCCACCTTCAGAGCAACATCCCGTTGCACGGAGAGCACTGCAGTGGTGCCATAACCAAAACGTGGCTAAATGATCTGGTTGACAGCTAAAAAACAAACAAACAAAAAGTATCCAAAAAACTCTTTCCCCCTAAAATAACGCTTTACTGTCATACAACAAAACCTACTTCCAACCGCATAATTTGCGCACTGACATTCACAGTTGACCCCAATGCAGACAGTCTTATTTTTTGTCATTCATTTGACAGTTTAACGCACTTAACGTGAAGCTCGTGTCTTTGAGATAAACCGCCGTACTTACCGATTTGAACGCTGCTCGGAAAAGCACCCATAGTAAGTCCCCAAACGCAAGAGAATAGCAGTAAAAGCTGATTACAAGAAATCCTCATTTTGTTAGTTCAAATTTGTGAGAGACATTGAGGATGACGTCAGTTGGGTAAAGGAAAGAAAGGAGAAACGTTGTTAGAAATCCATTCTTGCCGGGTTTTTCCCCTGCAGTGGCACGAACCCTGGTGCGACTCCGTCCGGCGGTAGACATGCAAGGTGGGGGGAGCGCGACAGCGGTGGGCAGTGTCTACATATACATACACACTCATCACACATGCGCCTTCTCTACACCATCACACGCACACACCATCACACACACACACACATTGTCGCGGGGGTTCGTGTGTTCATTTTCTTTCAATGCCGTATTCCGAGACAGCATTGGCGACTTCTCCTCCTAAACCGAGTTTTGGTTATAACGCGACCACCCTTTCGGTTGGACTGTCCCGATGAAACAAAAGCTAAGTTTGACTTGTTAGAATACAGGACACAGTTGAATGATACATGGTGTTTTTGCTGTCAGATATATTTAGTCCAGTAATTTTGTATGCTGCGTACTGAACGTGCGTTATTCTGCCTTGAAAAACACAAATGAGTGTGCCACATAACTATTTATACACGTAGACTAATAATATTAATAGGTTAAACCAATTTAAACCGAAAATTCCATCAATTAAACCTATTACAAATGAGTTAAAGCACTATCATAGACCCTTATGAGGTGAAAGTAGTTGTAAAATTTATGGAACAAAAAGCAGCTTGGGGTTAAGTATAATTTCACATTTATTTATTTAATTTGTGATCATGTTGATGGACGTTATGTCAGAAATGGTGCGATCCGAATTAGTAGGTTCTCTTGTTTTATTTTGATATAATATCCACAAATCATGACTGAGGGAGGGTAGCCTAAACATACAAAATGTAAAAGACAACAAAACGCCTCCCTTATTCATGCCTGAAACGTCACCACATTGAATTTCACACAATCACAGCTGCCCGTTTTTTTTTACTGTACATTTGACATGTGATTATGGCATTCTATTCCTCAGATAACAGTAACTACACTTTTCATATTCTCGGTCAAACAATAAGAGAGATCAGGAATTTCACAGGCACGAGGAGTCTCAGGGCTTATGACACAGGCTTGATGCAGTATTGGAATAAATTAAACCACTTTCCATTGACGAGGTGGTGAACTGATATTGAAGTAGCTTTGTCATTATATATCCGTATTATTTTTATTTCACCAAGCATTAATTCACAAATAAATAAACTTTCACTGCGTTTGTGCCCTTGCTCGGGATGATCCACCTTCAGAGCAACATCCCGTTGCACGGAGAGCACTGCAGTGGTGCCATAACCAAAACGTGGCACAGTGATCTAGTTGACAGCTAACAAACAAACAAACAAAAAGTATCCAAAAAACTCTTTCCCCCTAAAATAACGCTTTACTGTCATACAACAAAACCTACTTCCAACCGCATAATTTGCGCACTGACATTCACAGTTGACCCCAATGCAGACAGTCTTATTTTTTGTCATTCATTTGACAGTTTAACGCACTTAACGTGAAGCTCGTGTCTTTGAGATAAACCGCCGTACTTACCGATTTGAACGCTGCTCGGAAAAGCACCCATAGTAAGTCCCCAAACGCAAGAGAATAGCAGTAAAAGCTGATTACAAGAAATCCTCATTTTGTTAGCTAAAATTTGTGAGAGACATTGAGGATGACGTCAGTTGGGTAAAGGACAGAAAAGAGAAACGTTGTTAGAAATCCATTCTTGCCGGGTTTTTCCCCTGCAGTGGCACGAACCCTGGTGCGACTCCGTCCGGCGGTAGACATGCAAGGTGGGGGGAGCGCGACAGCGGTGGGCAGTGTCTACATATACATACACACTCATCACACATGCGCCTTCTCTATTCCATCACACACACACACACATTCTCGCGGGGGTTCGTGTTATAATTTCACATTTATTTATTTAATTTGTGATCATGTTGATGGACGTTATGTCAGAAATGGTGCGATCCGAATTAGTAGGTTCTCTTGTTTTATTTTGATATAATATCCACAAATCATGACTGAGGGAGGGTTGTGACACTTTCCCATGTATTTCTATTAGATATTATATCAAAGTTTGAGACACACAGCTCAAAAATACTAAATTTAGGCAAACTAAATGTTAAATAGAGTCTTTGAAATAGATTAAAGACATTTAACACATTTTGTTGACATTTAATGAATGACCAGTGACTTTTCATTTTCTGGTCTTTAACTCCCTATTCTCTTCAGTCCCATAAATCATACTGTTCATCACAATCTCCATTTCCTCATTTTCTATATCAGTCTTACTGCTTCAGTAAAACCTCTAGTGTTTAAGGAGCGTTGTAAGTGATAAATGAGCAGAGGGTTAGTGACATTTGGTTTCGTACAAATGTATTGATCGTACTGACTGTTATCAACAAGTGACACTTTTAAAAATAAAGATTCCACTTTACTAGAAATTTCACTACTTGTTCCACAGTTTTTTAGAATTCACTGGTGCTTTAGAGAACCCAGAAGCCAGTAAGATAATCCGAAGAACCTAATACTAAAATATAATGACTTTTTTAATGTTCAAAGAACCATATAGATCAATTTTAAAACTTTTTACTGGCGAATATGATTGTGAAGCATGCAACAATTTTTAAGAGAGGTACTTCAAGACAAGTCTATTGAGACACTCTGATTTTATTCTCTCAAATACCATCTATGATGGCTTTAAATGAGTAAATACTTTCAAAAGTGACTTTTAAATGTCACTTGCAGCCGTTTGTCCTCCCTCAGATATTTGAATGGGCAAATCAATTAGGCAGCTTTAACCAACCATGGCATTCACTGTGCGTGAACAGACGTTCTGTAGAGTGGCGTCGACTGCATTGTCTCTGTCCAAGGTCCTGAATCTATACAACCCCATTGAAATTCAAAACAGAGCTTGTGCAAGAAATATTAACTTTAACTTCTGTTATCCCCATAAAGAAGTCTCAGTATTTACATTTTTGACGAGCTTTTGTACTTTAAAGGAATAGTTCACTCTGCAATAGCTTACTCACCCTCAAGCACTCCAAGATGTACATGAGTTTGTTTATTCATCAGAACAGATTTGGAGAAATGTAGCAATAGCATTTCATCACTTGCTCACCAATGGATCCTCTGCAGTGAATGGGTGCCGTCAGAATGAGTGTCCAAACAGCTGATAAAAACATCACAATAATCCACCAACCACATTATTCCAGGCCATAAATTAATGTCATGTGATGTGAAAAGCTGCTTTCTCCATTGAAAAACTTGTCTTATCTGAATCAGGAGGGGAAAATGCACAGATCAAGCACAGTTTACAAGCGAAAACAGTTCTAAACAAATATGTGGGTGGATTTTAATGTGAGAGAACAACATTTAACTTTTTTACTCCAGGAAGCACTATTATGTTAAGTTAAAGTTAAAATGCCTTAATGATGGATTTATTTTTTACAAACACAAAGATTTTCACTTCAAAAGACGGTGATGGACCAGAGTCATATGGATTACTTGTGGATTATTGTGACGTTTTTTTTTTCAGCTGTTTGAACTCTCATTCGACGGCACCAGGGGATCCATTGGTCAGCAAGTGATGTAATGCTAAATTTCCCCAAATCCAGTGAAGAAAGAAACTCATCTAGATCTTGAATGGATCGTTTTTGGGTGAATTGTTCCTTTAAAATAGAAGCTGTGGTTTCATATTAAATGTATACGCTCCAAATAATATTTAACAACATTTAATGAGCAATTATGGAGCGACTCTGTCAAAATTGACTTGAGCGGAACACAGCAAAACAGGGCATCTTATTAACAGACACACATTTAGAGAAGTAATAGTCATAAAAACAAACCCAATGTCTAATAAATAATACATAAACAGGAAAAGAAATCATAAATATCAGGTCAGCGCATATTGTCATTGTGTTTTATATGGTGTAATTTTGCATAATTTATTAATTGCAAGTCTGAAATGGTTTGAGATTTTTGTAAGCCCTTCATTTTGTACTTTTTTTTGTTTCTGGTTGTGTTCTCATTGTTACAACATTCCCTACAGGACATCATAACATTTTTTCCCCCCATGATAGGTTGCATTATACTTGTTCGCAGTTAAAGATCATGGACACAACATTTCTTCTTTATCAGACTGGTGTTAAATGAGGTGTCCAAAATCATTAGTCTCTCTGCCTTTTTCATATACCCAGATGCTGGGATCTCAGCAACTCTCAGGTAGTGAATTGCATCGCCTGTTTGGCTGAAGTACAAAATTAAATTGGCTCGACTGGGTCGTGAGATTAGGTCAATGCAACATCACAGAGACTGCTGAAGGTTCATATTAGATTCCTCAGTTTTGTGACTAACTGGCATCTCACTGGCTTCCTCAGACTGAGAGGTCTGCTTCATTTTGGAGCCATTTGTATTGATACAGTGCCTTATCTTTCTGTCATTGTCTTATGGCTCTGTAAAGGCATTGCATCATGGTTCTGTTTGATCTTGAGACTGATTCTTGCACGAAAGCAGTGCTACGACACAGAAACAAGAATCCAAGCAATTGATGTATTATGAATCACTGTTTTTAAAGGGGTCATAGGATGCCCATTTTCCACAAGTTGATATGATTCTTTAGGGTCTTAATGGAAAGTCTGTAACATAGTTTGGTTAAAATTTCTCAGTGGTAGTGTAAAAAACACCCTTTTTACCCTGTCAAAAACAGCTCTTTTCAGATCAAGCCGTTTTTGTCATTTTCCTTTAAATGCTAATGAGCTATGCTGACCGTGCCCCTCTCTTCCAAGCTGCTCTCAGAGAGACTGTTTACTTTAGCCTCATTCATCGTGAAACTGGCTAATTATTATTAGGAAAGGCGATTTGCAAAGATTAATCACAAAACATTATACTCACTTCTTCTGTAGATGAGGCTGGATCATGAATGATTCGTGCGAACATAGACGCATTTATGTAGATCGGGGGCGCCTTCCCTTCAGAATCATTGTAATCCACTGCGAGTTCAGCGGCTCAGATGTCGGGAGTAAATGACGACTGCTGTGTTCATTATTACATCCAACAACAGAACACCTCAATCGCTTAGGAAGGAGTCATTCTTGTCTACATCTGCAAGGGGAAAACATTTAACCAGATTTTTTTTAAAAACTGGGTGGATTTTTATCATTATAGGGTGGTTGTGTACACACACTGCCAA